GAGAATCTGCACTGGTCGTGGAGTGCTCGCATTAGTCTTTACTTCCGATTTGGGAGCTAGCGCGGGAATGGGTGTAGTTTTGCTGCTGCTGGTAGCCTCTGATGGCCCACTGTCTTGGGGCTGACAGGGTTTTCCGCGCAGAATTCCTGCTATCAGAGCCTGTAAGGCCACTCCATTGTCTTCTACAGCTCGTCGAAGCTGTTGGTCGGTTGTGTCCGCCAAGAGTTTGAGGTATTCATTGACGACGCGCTCTGACCCTGCGAAGCGTAAGTTGAAAGCCCTCGCTTCATCTACGAGAAGGTTACTCATTGTAACTCCCAATGACCCTGCGGGGTTTTGATTCGAGCCTTAGCAGACCGCCTCACAGATCGGCTCTGCGGTTTGATGTGTATTGCTTAGGTTGTTCGGAGGCCTTGTGAGAACCATTTCGAAGTCAGGTGTCGAATTTACTGTTGGGAGAAGGGGCTAAGAGCCAGCCTCTGCAGAGGACTGGGGAAGCATGGATGAGAAAAGTGGGAATCACAGTAGTAAGTCGAAGATGATAGATTAAGACGATATTTGCGCGCGCCGAATCTTGTCACGGCAGGTGTGCTATGGCATAGATTTCTGAGATGGCGTTGATTTGGTGTTTAGTGAGTAATGCATGCTTGAAGTTCTTGTGTCGCGTCATGTATATAAGCTTTGGAGCCGGCAGAGACGAATTCTTGCACTTACCAGGGATGCCAGTGTAAAGGCTCGGTAGTTTGGTGATTCCATATCACATGGAAGGGTATAAACTTCCTGGTGTTTACTTATTCTGCTTATTCTCGTGAAAATAAAGTATAGCAATTTCTTACAGTTCACCACATCACATACACTAATCCATTCCATATTCTATCTCTTCATAACAAGTGTACTCAGACTATCTGGAATATCCAAGAAGAATCATATCCGAATTGAAGTCGAAAGCAAACATATGCACATCTACATTCGACGACTTCTCGCCAATATCGGTCCTACAATCTCCATATAAGTCCTCTATTTCAATCTTGCAACACACCAATTCGCTCGAATTGTGAATGAAAGCTTACATCATCAACAGCCTCCAATCCCCTCTATCAAATGACGAAATTTTGTATACCCGAAAGAAGGAGGCTAAGTCATAATTAATAAGGCTCGTATCTCCGTTTATGTCAGGTCTTTGCTCTAATAGGGCTATAGAACTTGAGTGGAGAGGTTTGTTATTATAAATTCATTTTTTTGTCCTTTTTAAGTCTGACTATATAGAATATGTAAGTCCTCTCTGACTACAGGCCAAGGATACTGTTGGCATCACAGGTGATGATTGGATCCAATCAAAGGGGGTCTAAATTTCGGTAGATGTGAATAATATTTCTACTTTCTTTCCAAGGAGATGGCGATGCTGTATCTATATGATTACATAATTAATACTGGAATTACGCGTGATAATGCCAGTTCTACAGATATAATCCAAACAGATACCTATGCCAGTTGTATATCCCCTTCTATGCCTCCCACACAGCTCCCTTCAAACAGTACCACCCCTCACAAGTCCTCATTCGATCATATGCTTAGAGAAGCCCTCTGCCCTTCATTATCTCCCCTCTCCAGCCAACCAAACGCCGGTCATTTCCGGGTGTATGGCAGCCGGGAAAAATCGCAAAACCACTGGTTGCGGGGCTTTTCTAGTACCGGCATTAGGACCAAGTCCGAAAACATAGTGACCCTACTGAAGCGTTCGAAGAGACTGACCAGCTAGACGCTGCAGACTTGTGGGTACTTCGGAAAATTCACCCTCTGCCTTTCTAGCCTCCTTCCAACCTCCTTCCCGAAGGTCGTGCTGAAATATAAGAAAGTCTTGATAGAGTGCGGTTGCTGTTTGATAGCTTATCCCAACTTCTTTTGTGCTGTCTGAGGTACTGGGGAGTACAGTGGAGCTGTCGACAGTAGGCCTTGCCAAATACCCGAAGCCATAGTTTTCGCGCATATATACACCCAACGTCGAGAGCCAATCAAAAATAAGTAAATTCCGGCATACACATCGATCTCCTCTTCCGTGTCTCATTCTAGACCTCAGCTGCCTATCCTACCTCAAATTGCTTGTCCCATCAGAGACACAGTCCCCTGTAAACCAAGACCCGAGATTTATATAAATCGACTTGATTTCCACCCTGCGGATATAAATAGCTTCGTTAATTTATAGTGAGAGGTGGCTGGTAATTAATGGGGCAAGCTCCGGCTTGCAATCGGAGCAACTTCTTTATCGACCATTAAGACGATATGATGTGTGGTTAGAAAAAGCTTGACAACTCAGATGAGAATTATAATGTCGGCAATAACGAGAAGTCGTCAAATGAAGATATGCTTGAGGTAGCTTTTGACTTCAATTCGGTTACGATTCTTTTTTGGCTAATCCAGATACACAGAACAATCTGTGTGTTAATGCTGGCTCCGCTAGAAGGCGAAGAAACCGAAATTGCCAGCCAGCATAGGTCCTACTTTAAGTATGTGTTTCCTATATATTTTAGCGTTTTATGTGTGCTTGGGTCACTTACGTATTCTGAGGTCAGATACTGCACCCCAGATTTGAGGTCTCGATGAATAAGTACCAAATTGATATTCCACATTGGGGATTTGAGTTGATTCTCATGAAAGTGCCTGTCCATCAAACTATGGTCAATGTGCCAAATATTTTTCAAACGAGTCTCAGTCTCTCGTGTATCTCGGTAATAATTTTTCAACAACTCAAGCCATTGTTGCATGACTTTTCAGGCAACTGCTCGCACCTGCGACTCGCAACTCACTCACTCACAACACAGTTTAATACGTGTGCCATCTTGCCAGGGCATAACTAATGACTTGACTGATCGCATGAACCGTTGCTCAGATTCAGAGATCTAGTAACTAGGATATAATCTGATTCTCCGGCATTTCTGTCCACTCTCTGTCTTTTCCTGAAATCCTTGACTTACACCTCTAGAAGTCGACATCAAACATATCACAGGTGTGGGTATCTTATGTGTCCTCTTCATATTACCAAAGTTGATACAACGCTACGTCAATCTTTTGACGAGTCGCTGACTAAGTCGGAGCAAGCAGATCATACGATTTTGAATTTTGCCGTTCCGCCTCGTTCGGATTCGGATCAAGCACCGTATTTTTCCCCTTCCCACAAAGATCAGGGTTCCCTTCGTTCATCACAGGCACTCTACGTCTTGAGAGAAATTACCCAGTGAATGATTCAAATCATCTAGGCGGGTATTCGGGTCAGAAGGAAGGCTAGATGAGTATCTGTCGGAAAACTCAGGTGGTATTTGTATCACGAGCCTGCTATAGCAGTAATAGTAATTGGCGGTTAACATGTATCTTGATTCGATCGGCTCCCCCTTCCGCTGCTCTTGGTGTAGCAAGCGCAAAGACAAATAGGTATATCAGCGATCTGACATACAAATAGTTGCAAAGCCATGCTCCCTCAACTTTTTGCAAGCTAGGAATGCCATTTCCCAAGAAGCCTTCCGACGAGCTTTGACTTCCTCGCCGCTATTTTCCGTATTTTTTTCAGGGCTGTACTGAGCACGGCGACTTTCGTGCCTGCCACGATAGATTACTCCATGAAAACGCCCTCTTGACTTGTTCCTGCGGGGGTCTCAAGTCTGTAACCCATTTAGTATTCTGCCCATTTGTTCGACAAAGACTGGCCTCTATCGGCCCCCGACATAGTTTTGGTAACCTCTCATCTCTTCTCAGTACTTCCTGTGGTGCTAAAAGATTTTATTTTGTATTGGAGAAGGCAAGATTCCTGTCGGAAATCTGCCCTATCCGCGCTTTTTGACGTATTTTATGTGAGGGGTCCGCTGCACAGCGCTCACAATAGCTTCATAAGTTTGTTTCAGGCCTTCTGGCTCTTTTTAAATTATATGATATTGTAGATTACATCAGTCACCGTACCCCCTCAGGGATGGGGCTGCAGCCATAAATTTAGTCCGGTAGACATTAAGTAAAAATAAACATATCTTTATTCAGTCTACTTTCCTCCGAGAAACACGTAGATAAAGTAATTGCTCCTCTCTCCAAACGCAATTCCTAATAAGGTACCGCATTACTCATCAACATTACCAGTCATCATTTCTAAAGTAATATATAGTGATCATTAAGTCGGTAGGCAATTCGACAGTATCCAATGGCTCGGCGGAGACAAGGTAATCCGAGTGATGCACGCTTGCAAATAAGTTCAGAATTGGTTTGGATAACCAATTCCGAATATTTTAGAAAGGGTACACGAGGGATATAAAATCGGATTCGTCAAGAACTCCTCTGTCATTCAGAAGAGTTTAATGGGGAAAACAACAAATATTTTAAGAGAAGATGTCGATAAGAATGAGACTTTTATACTTACAGTTTTGTGTACTTATCTGTAGAAGGTAGCCGGCACATGAGTAAATGAATTGACTTGGGACTGGTATATCCTACCAGTACCTGTGCTAATCTTAACGCTGGGGCGCACTCCGATGCTTCAGAGCAAAAGAGCCACGCCACCTTACATGGAGCGAGGAAGCAAAAGTAAATTAGAAATAATAAAAAGCCTATATACTATCATACGAAGGAAATTAGTATCAAATAAAAAGCTCGCATTCGTACGGACATTGGGTTCGTAGACACTAGTTTGGGCCACATAGACTCCGAACTAGAGCAGTTTAATTTTGTATATATGACCATTATCATCGTCATAAAAGATTTAGATCCATCTAATAAGTAGCCTATCATGTACCAGTTCGACAAGAATCGTACCATACTAGCCATTAAAGATGTAAGATTACACTACCTCTCGATCCGAGACCATAGCTTGGGGATCTGTTGTTAGAAATTACCGTAGATCCAAAAAACGCCTCAGATTATTTTGCCGCTAATGAATATCCCGAACAATCCGATAAAAAATCCTAATTATACAGAGACCTTATTTTTTTAATCAAGTTTTATCTACAACTTTTGCCAACAAGGATTTAGCCTCTCTTACTCATTTCACTCATGTGTCGCAGCTTGAAGCCATTGCATAAAGCCTTCATATCGGGATAAGGGCTTTTCATTAGTTCAAATGCGTTTGGCACTATTCGGACTGGCCAAGCGTTCACACGAGCTGCCTGCCCTGCCTTGAAGCAGAGAAAGAAATATCCCGGATGTCTAGAATCTAAACAAAATGCGTACACTGATCGTTTAGGGTTGGCCTCGGTGTAAGTTGTTAGCCATTTATCTATTGTAATCGTTAATTGAATTTCCAACGGTCCCCAGTCAGAATGTTGTCTTACCTGTATCTGCCTTACTGCCTCCCTGAAACTTTTCATGTGTTTTCATTTCGTCTACTTTCTTCGCCATAGCTTTGACATGATCGACAATGAGTTCATCAAGGTCGCTGTACGTGTATTTGCCCCCAATTTTTAACTGCCGGCCAACAGAGAATTCATTTTCTTTCTGTAATTCGAGAACATCGATATGTTGATAAACACCATCGGACACCTTCCATGTAACAGCAAGATGATCATTACCCTTAGAAGAAGGTCTAATCACGACATCACCAGAGGCTTGTGACCCAAGGTATTCCTCCGCTTGCGTAGAATTGAACGGCCTAAACAGAGGATGTTTGACAACCCTCCGAGATCGGCCAGTGGCTTTGTCCTTCTCACGGAGCTCATCTTTATCCTTATTTTCTTGAGCTACGTCCCAAGTCCCATAGTCACGGTCCACAAGATTTTTATTGGGCATACGTAGAGCTTCTTCGCGTAATGAAAGCCTCAGTGTGAAGCTGCTTCGGTCAATTTCGAGAACCTTAGCTTGAGTCGTCTGACCAACAGAAAATAAGCGATTCAGTGGCATGTTCGAATTAGGACCCTCTTGTGCTTCTACCTTTCCTTCAAGTCCCGAATCAAGCCTTGCTATAATGAAGTCTTCCTTGACGACCCTGATATTTATCGAGACAGTTACTCCTTCATGAAGAGAATCCTTATTCTCACCGGTTAGCATAGTAAATATTTCATCGTTACTAAGGATAGCAAAGTCTTTTCTCAATTCTTCATAAGGTTGCAAGAGTTCTGCACGGATAGTTTCGAGTGTGGCACGTTTACGTTGATTATAATTGCGTTCGAGTTGCTCAGCGTATTCCTCTAAAATCAAATCGTTGACCTTTTCTTGACCGTCTTCCTTAATTAGTTTACGAACAATTGCGCCAGGACCACCTTCATCCACTTCAACTTTGACATCTTCTTCGTCCAGTTCAAGTGCATCGGCTGCCATTTTACGTCCAAGCTCGTAGTCTTCCGGATGGACACGAGTGTTATCAAGATAATCTGAGCTTGAACTAGAGCTATCATAGACAATCATTAAAAAACTAGCACAATTATTCCAAACCCTTGGGCCTACAACTGGAAGTTTTTGCTGATCAAGATCCCCAACAAGTTCATCTCTTGTATTAACGACGCCGCCATTTGTGTTTATTGTTTTGAGAACAGCAGATGCTTTTCTATGACCTAGTCCACAGACGTATGGAAGTAATGCAGCCGTGTAAGGATCAGATATAGCCTCGTTTATATCGACACCACAAAGATTAACCATGTCTACCATTGCTGTGTCTAATGTTTTCCGAACTTTATCTTCCGGTAAAAGTTGTTGGCACGGGTGAAAAGACAAGGATACTATATCTTTCCCTAGAGCAGCATACTCCTTCATCGGATTTTGCATATATTTCGCCAAGGCGACACAATATCTAGTTAGAGGAGGTAGCCCAGGGTGATCAACAGCTGCACGTGGGCTATCTTTGTATAGTCGTGCTACTTCATCGTTTACAACGACAATTTCGAGGGGCCTTGTAGAATCTTCTTCCCCATCCCCATCTTCGTCGAGTTCGGCAGCCCGTAGTCCTTTTTCGTTAACAATATCGCGGAGTGCATTTGTTAGTTTGTGTGTCTCAGCTGAGAATCCACATACTCCAACGACGTCAGGCTTCCTACGATGTACCAAATCAACAAACTTTTGTCGATCTCTTTCGTCTCTTAATATGTTATTGATCTTTCCATTCTCTACTACACGCCCATCTTCCTCTACCCAAGCCCAACATACTGCATCGCGTCCTGGATCGCCATTACCACTAGATAGAGCCAGAACTCGAGGAACTGTTCCTAGCGACATGCCAGCAGGCTGATATGGAGCTTGATCTAATTTTTTTGAGTATTCTTCACGACATATCTTTAAGATCGAATCTTGACATTCAGTTCTCATGCTTTCCTTAACTCCTTTTGTGATTATTCGCTCAAGTTTGGTAAATGCTAATTCAAGAACTTTTTGCCTTTCGTCATTCCATGCATCAGCAAGCTCACTATAATTATCTGATGCGAATTCGGAAAAAAGCTGCTTCTTGAAATCGCGCTCGTGCTGAAGTAAGACTTTAACCTCAACAAGTCCCTCTTCCTCAGCCTTGAGCATCTTGAGAAAAATTTCAGGCTTATTAGCAATATCGCTAAACGTCTTATTTCGCAGGTACTTCAGCTCATAATATGGATGCTGCTCATCGATCTTCCGGAGACCTTTTTCGGTCCTGTAACAATGTACCGCACCCATCATGTAGTAACTCATCCGAAAGTGCTTACGCATACGGGGGCTGGCGAATAATTCTTCAGCATACATTTGTCGAGCAGCTGATAGGACTTGCTCTCCAGTACTAAATTCACTTTCCGTGACTATAGCATCTGCTAAGTCTATAGGGGACTCGGAAGCGTCTTCAGTAAATTGTTTTCTCCCTTCTCGCAGAGCATTTTGAGCCACTTGGTTGGGAGTGATTCCATACGCACGTAGAAGGCCATAAACTTTGCCTTTCCTAATACGGTCAAACATAGATGGTTTGCTTCCAGGGCGTCGCTTTTCCTTTGAATCATTATTCATAATATTGAGGTCCTTAAGTTCCAAAGAGTAGTGAAAGTATATGTAGTCCTGGATATCCTGTAGTTCCTCCATGGTCGCTGCAGCTGGTATCATATCCTCCACAGTCTTATCCTCTACACCAGCTCTAGACTTCAAATTCTCGTACGTTTTTTCGATAACGTTTCGCTTTTCGACTAGTGCCCTAAACTTGAGATCCAGCTCCAAAATGCGCCAAAGATCATCCTGATTTAGAAGCTTCTGAGCACTAACTTGAAATTCGTCTTGATCTGTACCGTTATTACCACGCACAAGAGTTTTCGTTGCATGGATCAGATAGTCCTTTCGATGTTGAAAAACGTATGGTACCTCGACCTCATCAACCACAAAGAATTCCAAGACCTTACCTATAGCTTTGGTAAAGGGTACCTGGAGATCGTTCGGAAGCTGCTTTTTAGGCCATATAAGACTAGTTATCCATCTGTTCTCTTCCTTAAATTGCTCTTCAGAAATAATTACATGCTTATATGGATTTCGATCAAGTTGGAAGCGCTCGGGTTCGTCAGCCCATCGGATCGTATTATCAGCGTCCGTGAGAAGTTTTTCAGATAATTGAGATGGTTCGAATACATCTTTTAACTCAAGTGTATGATCTCCAGCCTCTCTAGCTTCAGCCTCATCTTCTAGAGCCAGTGCCCAGTCATAATCTTCTCCGTTTCCAAAGATAGCTTCCATATCTTCCAATGCATCCTTGTCGAGACCAGTGGCATCAGAACCGACTGCATAGTTTTTCTCCCGCGGGCGAGCGACCTCCATTTCTTCTTGGTGCCTTTGTCGCTCATCTTCGTCTTCGAGATCGTCTTCCTCGATGAAATCAGCGAACTCATCTACCCGATGATGATCCGATCGAGCAAATCTGGATTCAGTGGCAGGAGGCCCATCTAGCTCCTCATCGTCCGAGAATATTTCTTCAAGTCCACGCTTGCTTCGTTCTTCACCATTTCCTCGATGTCCGCGTTTAAGCCGCTTGAGCTTAGGCTAAATCTTGTTAATAACAGAAAATTTATGTAGACTAGAAATAGTCACCTGTGCGGATGATGTCTTGCGCTGAAACTCCGGATTAGCCTCGCCGATAAGATCTAGATCTTCTTCATCTAGAATCGCCTCTTCTTCTTCGCGCTCAGCACGTCGGCGTTTTTTATCTTTGCGACGACGTCTCTCTCGATCATCGGGCTCTTCATCATCGTCATCAATGATGAAGCCTTCACGAATCTGCTTGATGGTTAGTTATTTAGTAATAGCCAGTGATTAGGAGATTATACGGCGCGAGCTGCTTCCTCATCATCATCGTCTTCTTCCTCACTCGAATCATCTAGGTCTCCATTTGGAATTCTTTTCTTTGTCCGAGCTTCTCCAGTCTCTTCGTCAAACGAGTCTTCATTTTCTTCCTCATCGAGCTCAGCTTCTCCTTGAATAAGGTCTTGCATGCTCATTTTTGTAATAGTTATTGAGTGAAACCTGAATGCAGAACCAATGAGCGAGCGTTTCGTTTGAATCAGTTTGAATTAGTGAATGAAAACGACAACCTTTTGAAACAGGTCTGCTATGTTATTGTCCAGGCAGTTAAAATTTTCTTGTGACTTGATCTGATCAAATCGATACATAAAGGCTAGCGTAATTTACTAAAAACTGCGCCACATGTGGCTTGACTTGTGCAACCTATTCGTAAGACCATAGGCTCACTCTACCGTCAAGAATATTATAAATTTAGAAATTGAAACTTATCTGTTGTATATGGCTTGACTGTTATGTTGATAAGCTCATCAAAAATTATGAAAAACTAGAGTGATAAATTGTGTGTATCAATTAAATTTGGTTAACTAATGGTAACCTTCCCTCCTCCCCCTGGTCAAACCCTAGGAAAGCCAAGACCAGACGGTTTTGTGACTTGCCACGGATTTGGTACAGCATAGCGGGAAGGTCTCATTGGTTTCTTCTCACACTCTCCCCCTCTCTCCTCTTCCAAAACTCACAGGTTACAATTTCCTGTTCAATAAGGGAAGGTCCAATTTTCGTGGCCTCCATCGAAATTATAGTAGCAGTTGCTGTCTTACGTTTCCAGCTTACCCCACACTACTCAATCCTGTGGAACAGTCCAACGATCGCCCTCTGCTTTAAAACTAACCCCTTCATCAATAGACTTAGGGAACCAAAACCAGAAGATATCTCTACGAACTGTTTTTGCTACAGCCAACAGATTTACAATACCCGACTGGTCACACGGCCGAATTCGAATTATTGTTACATGATTTTTGCTAAAAACGTCGCCAATTACCTTGATTCTTAAAGAGGGGTAATAGCCTACAAACATTAAACATGTCCGAAAGTATCGGTCCAACGCGGACTTTAAAACGCAAAAATGTCAAAGGTCTCGCACTTAGTGCACCCCCTCGCATTGTAGCACCCTCAGATGGTGATTCTCAACAACCAGGCGGTAATGGAGGTGAAAATAACCGGCAAACTTCACAGTTAGAGATTGGTATTGAATACAAGCTCGATTTGAAGCGGGAAGACTTAGAAGTTTTGAAAGATCTTGGCCATGGAAACGGTGGAACTGTCAGTAAAGTTAGGCATATGGCAACCGGAACAGTCATGGCACGAAAGGTAATTCCAAAGTTTCACTCTTTTTTTGAAAAAAGTCATCAACTAATGTATAAAGATAATTCATGTCGAAGCAAACAAAGAGATGAGACGCCGAATTGTTCGAGAACTTCAAATTATGCATGAGACAAATTCTGAATATATTGTCACATTCTACGGAGCCTTTCTTAGTGAGACTAACGATGTAATAATGTGTATGGAGTACATGGATGTCGGGTACAGCTGTCGAGAAATTACGGACAGTTGATAGCTAACGTTATACAGCGCACTAGATCGTGTATCCCGGAAATTTGGTCCTGTTCGTGTCGATGTTCTAGGAAAAATCGCAGAGGCTACGCTGGGTGGACTCACATATCTCTACACAAAACACCATATTATGCATAGGGACATTAAACCCTCTAATATCTTAATAAACTCTAAAGGCCAAATCAAGTTATGTGATTTTGGGGTTTCAGGAGAATTAGTGAATTCCGTCGCAGACACATTTGTTGGAACCTCCACATACATGGCACCCGAAAGGATTCAGGGTCAGAAATATACAGTCAAATCTGATGTATGGAGTTTTGGTTTATCAATAATGGAGCTCGCTATTGGCAAATTTCCTTTTGATACCAGTGAGCAACTATCCGACGATGAAGGAGCACCAGCAGGAATTCTGGACCTTTTACAGCAGATTGTTTACGAACCAGCACCAAGACTCCCCAAAAGCGAAGCATTCCCTCAAATCTTGGAGGATATGATACAGAAATGCATGGCCAAAGAACCGCAAGAACGACCAACTCCACAAGAACTTTATGTCTGTACTGACGAGATCTATTATAATGTGGTGCGCTAATGGATATTATAGGAACGAGAACCTTTTGTACAGGCAGCTAAAAGAACACCAGTTAACTTAAAGGAATGGGCTGTTGGGCTCATGGAGAAAGATAATCGAAAATCCCACTTAGGTCCTCAACTATCTCCTTCGACCCAACAACTTCTGCGATCATGCGATTCACCGACTGCTATGCGTTTGAACTCTCCAAATCACGCTCTACCAACTCCTACATCTGGCGATATTCCAATCGGGGGGGATGTTCGATCGGCGGCCACTTCACCCACACAGGAAGATTCAACCAACCATTCGAGAATATCCACCAAGCTTAGTAGCTCACAGAGTCGTAGCCACTCTGGTAGTAGCAGCCAAAACTCCAGGCATGGCTCAAACAACTCGGCCACCCTTGCCATACCCGATCGCCAGAGTAATATTCCCAACGGGAAAGGAGTTGTTTTTACATCTACCAAACTACCAATAAGACCTGCTCCATCAGGTCCATTGCCACCACCTCCAGTGCCCAGAAAAGAAGGCACAGAGTCCGACCTAAGAAACTTGAACAGAAGGCAGGCAACTTTTGGAAACAACGGCTATGGGTCAGGATTTTGAAACTGAAATAGGGCTGGATCCTATAAATTTCTAGGGAATGGGCTGTAAATCTTTTGTAAGCATTTATCGGCAGATTCAAGCGTGCATTAGCAGGCGTTTCCGTTGTTAATGTTGTGGTGCCCGTTTAGAGTAACAAGTCAATTTCTACGCGACTCTGTACTGATGCAGTGAATTAAATTTTAGCTTTTTAGGAGCGTTGAAAATTGAAGGCTACATCTCTTCCATTTATCTTGATGCAAAGCTTTACACAAATCCTCCGCTTTGTGGATAAATGACTTGTCTGCCACCAAAGCTTCGCGCGATGACGTAGGTCGTTATCACGTGATTTATGTCTATACTGGTGTGGTTCTCAGCCTTATCAAAAGTTGTACATTAGCTAACGAAGTCTTATCTAAAGACAGAGCCTAATTGAAGGTACCAGGAGTCTTTAGCGCAACCTAACTATGTGCTACCTAACTATGTGCTACCTATAGTAGAACCCCCAGAACATGATAATGTCCTGTCCTCGATGGCCAAATAGTAGAGGAGAGTTTTGGGAATAAGCTAAAGATTATTCCTTCGAAGCAGTGATAAATAATCCTTGCTATATCAAGATGATTAGATAGTGGGTCTTAAAAAATTTTTGGATAGAATAACTCCAGATCACAAAGGCGGTCGAAATCCTGCTAAGGGGAAAGAGACAGGACAAGATATTTTTGGGGTTGATATAGAGAATTTGATTAGCTTATATGGATGGCACTAGAGTGTAGCTGCGCTTCCTGAAGGACAAGTAGAAAATCAAAGACATCAAATAAATAGGTGGTGGGGGTTTTCCATCGAGAGATTTTCTCCATATAAATGTTTCTGTTCATAGAAACCTATTTTAGCCCTTAGGGCATTAAATCAGGATAATGTAATCAAACCAAAGCCTTATCGAAGCTTATTGCTGGAGACTAAGTTTTGCCACCTGAAAGACGTGTCTTTTTTGAAACCTCAATTCAGTAATAATTCGGGAACAATGAAGCTTTAACGCCTATTATATTTTAGCTGATTTACTCAACCTTTCCCCCAAGATACCCTCCCAAAAACTCTTGCGATGATCGCAAAAACAGTAGCGGTACTGGATAAGAGGAGAAATACCGTAGTACAAAAAGCTATTCCAAAAGCCATTGGGCGCTACATCATTTCCCAATAAATCATCCTCGCAAGCGGAAGAATCTGAAGCGCATGAAAACAGAATCATTTCGTTTTCAAAAAAACAGTAATTAAATCGTCAAAAGATAGCTGAATACAATATGATTCCAAAAAAAAACGTCAAAAGCATCGTCCTTACTCGTCTCAACATCATGGTTGGCCAGGTAGGTCATCAACATCACGTGAATTACTAGATAGCCTCTCTTACGAAGCGTGATATGTTAAATTGGGAGATTTTATGATGTAGTTAAAAATAAATTTTGCTGTGCCTATCTTCATTAACTTTCCGAAAAATATTAAGGATAACTGTGCCACTGGGCCTAGCCCTTGTGTGGGTCGCTGTGGCACTAGCCGCTCGGTGTTTTTTGTGGATTGTTCCCGGCAGCTTCGGTAAATAATTTTCGCTAAGATAGTTGATGGGAAAATGATGATGGGATAGTCACTCTCTTATTGTGAACCCTCGCTCTGGAGCTCACAGTGGTGCATCGACGGGTTGTCTTCAGTGACGGGAAGAAAGAACTGAGCAGATTATCATGGTACGCTGAACTTGGCTTACTGCTTTAGGTAGGTATTCACAATAACATACTAAGCAATTAGCGGCCTCCGCAATCCTTTAGGAGCTTAAGCACGGATGGGGTCGGACTGGATCTGATCAACTTTCACGAGAAGCATGAGAATCGCTCCACTTACATGACCGGGCCACCCTGATTCGACACACTGCTGAAGTCTGTTTCAAGTCCGACCATTTAGAGACCCCAACTTTGGCATGCCAAAGCGCAAAGGCCTCTACTGCCTCGGCCACCATGCGCCCGAGCCCTAGACACCACCCTAGGTTCTGCTTCATTCTACACATTTACACATCGATGAGTGTCCAAACACAGTAAAAAAACACGCGTGAAGTGGGGCAACCATGATAAGGCTTCTATTCCACATACAAATCGTCTATCAAGATAGTTGTGGACACCATAGTCCTTGACAAGACAGTCCAAAGGATAATAGTATCTGAATTCTCGTCTATAATCATCGAGCTCCTCACAAAATTCTTATGAACACTACTCTATTCCCGTAGGACTAAGGGTGTTTGAACATAGGAAATGCAGATTAGGATTAACTGATTAATTTTGGGCAATTATTATCGAAAATTGATAAAGATTCGATGAAAGGGAAAGCTCAGGGAATACGGCATCAATTGTTTCCACAACTGATGAAGATATGAATCAGTAAATATTGTGATAAATATTGGAAACGATTAAGATTTGTAAATGAATACAATGTTAAGTTTATTTAAATAATTCTCGTTCGGCTGATGAACATGTAATTTTTGTAAACCAACCTAAGAAAAGTGCGGATTGCTGAGTTGAACGCCATACTCCAATAGCTGCAATAAGTCTATGCGACTTGAGAGTGGAATAAGTATAGCCATTCAGAGAGCTTCATGTATCGAGGACGAAAATCCAACACCTGTCAGCAGTGTTCCTTTCGAAACCCCAGCTCTAACTATTGAGTCTACAAAGCCAGGATTTCAGGAATTTTCTATATTACTTGAAACGTCGCAAAGGAAAACCCATCCACATTTAGCAAACTATACAATTTTTCGGCAGGCACCCGGCAAACCCCTAGAAACTGGAAATAGAGTCCCTAAAATAGAAAGCTGCGACAAACAAGTCTTATTTCACCAGCAAACTAATACGCTCAGAACTAACCCCTGATGAAACTGCACCTAAGTTGGTGGCATTCGAAAGAGCCTTCGAAACTCCTAGTACAACGCAAGAAAAATTCTGTCAGAGAGCGACATTCACATGGAAGACAAAGCCAAAAGCACTTCTCTGCTCATAGCGAGTCTCTCTCATGATTGACTATTGATTTTTCTAATTCTGAAATCCCTACCGAGTCTTATAATATGAAAGACTACTTGTGGATCTAACTAATTAGTTTCTTAATTTATTGGTTAAATTTCCATTAGAAATATCACACTTATATGCCAATTAATCTTGAGAGTCATACCCTCTCCCTCATGAAAATAGCACGAAAGCTAGTATACATGTAGCATCCCTCGACCGAGATCTTCTAGGACTTAATGGTAAATTTTCAAATCAAGTCCTTTGCTATTAACATTTTCCCTACATAAAATGAAAAATAAACTAAGCTCTATCTAGCATAGTCAAGGCGGCTTCCCACAGAGTCACCAAAGCTAGAACCCTATCTAGACCGATTACCAATATCCTCGATGCACTATGCCAAAATTCTGAACGAGATATGTCGGTAGAAATGTATGGGTGTAACGGCTAGTGAGCCGATAATTATTCAATGTCACATGATGATAAGCACATGCTGTAAAAATCTTCGAAACTCAAATTTCTTTCATAAATCAATCGGGACGTCACTAGAAATTTCTAGTGACTAGTAGGACTGCGAACCAGCCTCAGGGGAACATACTAGAAACTGGTTACAGGCGAGAAGAATATTCCAGATAGTATAGTAAGTGTATAAATAGTTGAAGTAGGACTCGTATAGATGGGCACAGAGAAAATAATAAACTACCTTCGCATATCTGATTGCTCCAGCATCGACACTCGAACCGTGACAATGCGCTCTCATAGATTTGTGCGAAAAGCTCACAGCACTAGCTAAGCGAAATTTCGAGGCATATGTAGGGGTGTTTTCTGTAATCCCAGACTTGGCCGAGAATAGTGACGGTAAACCATATAAACTGAATATCACAACACGGAAGGACCCTCCAAGTGAACCTTTCCCTGACCGCTGAACTTCAGCACCCAGACTTATCCTCTGCAGAAATCTGCTGCAGTATCCAACGCACTGGAGTAGATACCTCAAGCCGAGATTAGACGAAAGATTGTTTCTTCACCTTCCTGGAGATGATTCTCCTCAAAACTTGACAGGCTATGCTCTGCAAACACAAATCAAAACCAGGTGACGATAGTCAACTTCTATCTAATGTCTCACCAACCAAATCTAAGTTTCCACTCTACCCAAGCACACGAAAGTCGGAAATTCTGGCCAAAAAACTAGCTTCTACTAGTACTCTTAACGACATAATCTTCGAAAAAACATGCCCATTGGTGTAACACCATATCTCAAACTTTACACGTATATGTAGTACCATAAATGAACATTTTGAGCTTAGCTTGGGACGCATCACAACCGAGGCAGTCATAGAAGCACTTGCACCAGCAGCCAGTATTCAACTATTATATCTGAACCCCTCGTGAGACAACGAAAGACTCAAACTTACAAACTATATATTGGGTATTTCGCCTTCAAGAGAGCCACAATCTTCTCTGATACATGCGGTATAATCTCGGTTACAGAATAAATATCCGGCCCCCCCCGCATTTAAACATACATGTTGCTGGCTCCAGCTCTGGCATGGTAGCCAAGTTTGCTCTAGTCAACTTCGATATCATCTATGTGGCTTTACTTATCACGGGGAATTAGACCACGCTGACCTGTTTGGAGCTGCATCTGATCACATCAACACTCATAATGCATCCACTATCATGACTCACACACTGCAGATGTCTTTAAATGTGACCTACACCCAAACTCTCTTGGTTTTCTCAAGACAAAATATTAGATAACCGTCATCCGAAAAATTAGCGCTGAAGCACGCATGTGCTGCCAAGTCGAGTTCGGCTGCATTTGAATTTTATTTCGTTCAACCCGATCAGGCAACCTATGGGTCCATGCAGGTGACTATCTTCATTATTCATAAAGGAGGAAACAAATTTGTAGAAAACCCCCTGATCCTGTCTATTTATATTCCTATCAATTTATTTAGTTTACCTTCAGGAAGTGGAGTGTTTACT